AGGTTATTCAATAATTTATTACAAGCAATAAACCTGCATTCATTTGACAGCCACACCTCTTCTGTGCGTATTGAACAAAAAATAAAAAAACAGAAGTATTTGCCCAGGCATTTGAGGGAGAGCAAAGTTATATCTATATTATTCTAGACTATGGTGATGTTTCACTTGGTCTCATTTGACTGTGTGTCTGTGATGTTTATTTAAAATAGTTCAGATGGCTGCAGCTTAAAAACGGAAAAAAAGCTGATTTAATATCAAAGTGACGACTGCAGACAGTAGCTGTAGCTGTTGTGATCCCTGTTCACAACCTGCTGCTTTTATCTCCCCTGCCCTGATCACAGGCAGGTTAATCCACACTAATTAAAGGTGCTCTGCATAGCTTTGAAGCGCCTCGACACCTCAGCCAGCCCGGGGCTCTTTGAAGAGGGGAGTCTGGCACAGCGCAGTGTCTCCGGCAGCCAGCTCCCCTGATTGGGGGGGGTGGTGGGCTATTCGCATGTCTTTGGGTTGCCTGCTGCAGTCCCGGGCTGTGTGGGTCCCTGCAGGCATTTCACCATAGTCACCTCTGTGTCTGCACGTTTCATTTACCCTTCTCCCAGAACAAAGTCTTTAGCACTTGGCACTGTATTGTCTGTACCTTTAACATAACATAACATCACTTTATTGGCCCTATACAATTTCTTGCATTAGGAATTCGGCTTTTCGCATACTTGCTCTTCATGAGACACAGACAGGGAGAGAAGCTTGGGGTCAGGGCGCAGGGTCAGCCATTGTACAGCGCCCCTGGAGGAGTTGGGGTTAAGGGCCTTGCTCAGGGGCCTTAACGGAGTAGGACTCCTCTGCCGGCCGCAGGATTTGAACCGGCAACCTTCCAGCCACAGGCACAGATCCTGAGCCACAGAGCCACCACTCCACCCCCTTTAATTATCTGATGACATGTGGACTCAATGCTTAAAGGTAATGCTTAAAAAAATAACCTTCCTGATACTAGAAGGTAACATCACTGATCACAGACACACAGCCGGTACTGAGCGCAGGCTGCAGAGACGCTCATGTCTCAGTGTCCGGGATTACTTC